TGTAGACACAGCCATACTGTATATAAGTTTGTTGATCTACGGTCGGTATCCTTCTCTCACTCTCCTTATTTACTGTAGTTGCTTCTCCTCCCTTTGTGTTGTCTTGTATTCTGTGGTCATTGTTTGTGTTATGTTTCTAATTTAACCTGGGGTACATGAGTGGTGGGGGAAATAGCTTTGTTGTCTCCTCTGTAACACTGTCAATCATAGCATATATAACTAGTATGAGGCTGTTTAAATTGTCATGGTCTTTTCACTGATAAATCCTTCTGAAAGTTTTGCTCAGTGGATGTAAGATATGTTCAGCAAGAAAAGAAACCTGAGACTGCCTCTGTATCCAAACGCTTTACCACCGTCATTCCTGCCTTGGAGAAGGGAGCATGACTGTCTATCCTTTACCTCCAGGATGCTTATTTTCATATCATGATACATCCAGCACACAGACACTTCATGCGATTTACTATTTGGAACCTGCACTTCCAATAGAGTTCTGCTCTTTGGACTCTCAACAGCCCCACTGTTTTTTTCCAAAGTCCTAGCTGTGGTTCCAGTACATCTACGGAGAATGGGGATTACCATATTCCATCCCAGACAACTACCTACTAAAAGGCTCCACAGCATGCAACATGGAACAGGCAGTCAAGACCACCAGAGCCTTATTCAACAACTTAGGGCTCCAGATAAACTTACAGAAATGCATACTCACTCCCACTCTAAGTGTGCTCCACTATTCTGACTGCACAACAGCAATAGCTGCTCTGCTGGAACAGAGGTTCTCAGCAATCATGGACCTTGGATCGTTGGCACAGGCCAGCCCACACATAATAGCTCAGTATTGCCTTCAACTTCTGGGACATATGGCAGCAGCTACATTTGTCATACCATATGCCCACCTCCACATGAGACCACTGCGGTCCTCATTACTCTCGGAATACAGACCACATGTCCTTCATATAAACAAACAGCTCGCCATGCTCTCCAAGATAAAGAACTCTTTGACTTGGTGGACTGTCCACAACAGTATATGCAAGGTGGTTCCCTTCCAACCACTGCAGCCATCCGTAATGATCTCCACGGATGCTTCGTTAAGAGGATGGGGACCTTACGTAGACCATCAGGTTATCCAAGCACAATGGTCTCCGAAGGAAGCCAAGCAACATATTAATCTGCTTGAACTCAGTGCAGTCTGCAATGCTTGCTTATACTTTCTTCCTCAAGTCCAAAATTACAAATACTTATGGACAATCTCACAACAATGTACTGTATGAACCAGGGCTGCTCAACTTTGGAAGCCCACAGGGCCACAATGATATTCACAGCACATGCTGAAGGCCGCAACTTAAGTGCGGTTGCATGTACATGCAAATATATATGCAAATAGCTTATTTCACATTGATGGGCATGAATACAAAGATTAAGGCAAGACTACACAACACACAGGCCCCATTTAAGTCAGTTCTGCTGGTATTAATAAAAGGCAATATTTACCCTATTTCCACCCATATGATAGCACTTTTAATGAGCAATGACAGTCCAGGAATTGAACTACTAAAACACATATAAACAGAAGACCATTATATTGACTTGCTATTATGGAGTGTGTTCCCAGTGGAGGCTATGTTCAAAGGATCCCACCTGTGGACCGTGTGTTGAGCCCCTCATAAACCCAAACCACACTGCGGGCTGCAAACAAACAGGCTGTGGTCCGCATGTGACCCACAGGTCGCATGTTGAGTAGCCCTGATATAAACCAACAAGAAGTAGCCTGATCTTACCAACTATGCCAGAAAGCAGTTTGCTTTTTGGAATAGTGCATCCCACAAAACATACACTTGATCATAACTGACCTCCCATGCAAAGAAAACATGCTAGCAGACAACCTCAGCAGGTACTCTGAGGTGTAACCTGAGGTAGCTGAGGGATAACCCGTTCTGGTGCAAACTAGATGGAATATAGTTATGTTCAGAGCCCTCAATCAACTCCTCAATGCTGAATCCTTCATTCAAAAGGTGGGGATTCACCATGGTGGACTTGTTCACAGTGAAGTGGGACACTCAATGCCTACACTACTGGTCCAGAGTAGGCATAGGCCCCCTCTCACTAGGGGACACATTCAGCATAAAATGGGAAGCTCCCCTGCTATACACATTCCCACTGTTTCCACTTCTGCAACGGGTAATCTTGAAAATCAAGCAGGACAAGGCCGGGGTCATTCATATAGCCACCAAATACATCATCCCAGTATGCAAACGTTCCCTCTCCAAGCATGGCTATTAACTGGCTAACTCCTCTTGAAATGGCGTGTCCAGCAGCTGTACAGGAAGTCATGATGAACTGCCACAGACCAACTACGAGAGACATATAAACACGGCACCATTTCACAGTATTGTGCTCTGAACATAACTATATTCCATCTAGCTTGCACCAGAGTGGGTTATCCCTCAGCTACATCAGGGTACACCTCACCACAACTGCATCTCTACATGTCCCCCATAGAGGGTCACTCAGACTTTATACACTCATCCGTCAAGCATACATAATAAGTTTCCCTGACTAAGGGACCCAGCTCCAGCATGGGACTTACACCTTGTGCTCAGAGCAATAACAGGCACATCCTTCGACCTCTTTGCTACCTGCTCGCTACTTCATCTCTCAGTGAAGATCTCCATCCTTGTGGCAATTACTTCGTCAAGTAGGATGGGCGAGTTGGAAACCCCGATGGCAGACACACACACCCCAATCTTCCATAAAGTGGTCCTCCACACACATCCCAAGTTCCTCCCAAAAGAACTTACCTTGTTCCATTGCAACAAACCCATTTACTTACCTGTAGTCTTCCCCAAACCCCAGAAGGATACCAGGGAGGCGACCTTGAACACTTTAGATGTCCACGCTCACTCCATAAGACCAATGGTGGCATCCACTTCCTTTCTCCAGGACATATCAATAAAACAAATCTGCATAGCCACCAGATAGGCTTCAGCATATATATTCATGGAACATTAGACCATTCAGCCTTTTGCCACTTCTGATACCCCACTTGGCCGAACAATACTCTTGGTCACCAATTCAGATCTCCCAAAACTCCCACCACCAAGCACAACTACTGCTTCGTAATCACCTAAGGTGGAGCACTCACAGGGACACTCCTCAAAGAAGGGAAGGTTTCTCACCTGGTGCAGTAACTGGAGTTCTTTGAGATGGTTGTCCCTGTGGGTGCTTCACCACCCAGCCTCCTCCCCTCTGCTTCAGAGTCATCTGTGTCCGGGTCAGAGAAGGAAATGAAGGGACAGCTGGCTGCACATGCAGAATAGCCATTTCAAGTATTGTGTACCAGCAGTTCCATGTACACAGCTGTTCCCATGACTGGCAATCTAAAATCTCCGATTAGAAGTACAGCAGCACTCAGACATCTAAGGTGGAGTACCCACAGGGACTACCATCTTCAAGAACTCCAGTTACTGCACCAGATGAATAACCTTCCCTTCTCCACGTTTCCCAATCATGACACACAAAGGCCACTTGTGGGTGTGAAGTGGTAGTTCTGAAGCCTATTTATTCCTTGCCTATCTGCTGAAATTAACAGTAAGGTTCCCACTTGTAGTACTGGATACTTATCCATAGAGACCAATAAATGTAGCAGTAATTAAAGCTATTTATTACCCAATAATTTTCGCCCTGCTTCACCTTGAGAAACAAATGCCTTTACTTCCAGTGACACTTTGTTTCTAACTAATTTAAACTGACTTTTTAAATGTCCCAGTCCTTTATGCCCTTTGCCCATGCAACTCACCCTGACTTCAGTAGGTGTTCTATGAACTTTCAGGATCCTGCCCACATTTTGGTTTAATGAGATTTAAGAGTGTGCCTTACTGTGACTCAGAATAAATTTGTTGGCAATAAACTGTTCTTTTTCAGGACACACACTCAAATTCCATTTAGGTGGTGGTTTAATTTTATGAATGAGTAGAAGAATTAAAAAAAAAATCAGACATGCATGAATTTAGACGAGAAATTAGCTTTTGCCTGCATTTTTGAGGCTCTGTTGGTTTTAGTAATTTAGTTGAAAATTAAACTAGCAAAAGAACTCTTCCTGAATTTGTAGAGGTCCGTTTGCCAATCATTTGCTATCAGTGACTATATAATTATAAATGATAAACACTAAATATTTTGCCCATATATTTTCCTCTGATAATGGAAAACCTAGCTGAAGCTGACCAAGTTCATAGAAATGCTGGGTGCAACAGCTTTAAAGCATGTTGCCCTCTTTGTGCTGACCCTATAAAAACCTAACTGCTCTTACTCAACGGGGTTGAGGCTTTCCGTTAAAAGCATTTTCGGAAAAGCACGTCTAGATTGGCAAGATGCTTTTCCGCAAAAGCACTTTTTGCGGAAAAGCGTCCGGGGCCAATCTAGACACGGTTTTCTGCAAAAAAGCCCTGGTCGCCATTTTCGCGATCGGGGCTTTTTTGCGGAAAACACTACTGTGCTGTTTACACTGGCCCTTTTGCGCAAGTCTTTCGGAAAAAGACTTTTGCCCAAACGGGAGCAGCATAGTATTTCCAGAAAATCACTGACAATCTTACATAAGATCGTCAGTGCTTTTCTGGAAATTCAAGCGGCCAGTGTAGACAGCTGGCAAGTTTTTCCGTAAAATCATGCAGCACGGGCCACCCAGAGGGAACAGCCAGCATTTCAGTGTTACAGACTCTCAGACACTGGGCTACTATATATATGATAATTATCAGAATAATTTGTGGTCCCTCCCAAGTTAAGCCCAGAATCTAGCATCAGCAAAAGAAGTTGATTGCTTATATCATGAAGTTGTCTAATAGAATGGATCCCAAACCAAAAGTCAAAAGTCTCCTGGGAAAAGCAGTAAACTTGACAACTCTGATGTTTAACAAATTGCTAACTTGAGTCAGCCTTGTCTGTTCTTTTGAAAAGTTTTAAGTTCCATCAAAAATACATTTGTTAATTTCACTTTTATGTGCTTTCAGGCTGGATAAGCTAATTAAAAGATTTCTGGAAGATCCTGATCCTGAGAGCACACTGGATGTTGGCGCTGATATGCGCAAGATCAAGCACTGTTTTAATTATATAAAGGTATATACTGAACACATAACAAGGAAGTGCAAAGGGCCCTAAGAATGAACAGGAAGAATTAGAAGACATAGGGGAGGGGAAGATGAAAAGCAGCAATAAACCTGTTTAGAAGCGGGGAGTGTACACAGGGACTCAGTAGGTCTAGAAATGATTGAAGAACTGGAATGGATTTGAGAAATAACCTAGCAAGAATCTGAGGGAGCTAAAGGGAATGCCCAAAGGGTATTAGAGGTGGAAGGTGTGATAGAGAGGACTGAAATTTACAGGAAGTACTGTGCTGAAGTTATCCATAAATGGATAACGTATATATCCAGATATGTGTGCAGCTAATAAGGAACTTATGTTAGACTAGCTACTCCAAGTGGGGTATCAGAAAAGAGAATTTGTGTCACTGAACCATCTGCATAAATTGTGTTAGTTATATGCTATGCAGGATACTATGCACACAAGATATATATGAGATGAAGAGTTGCAAAGGAAGAAATGAAACTGGGGTCAAGCTACAATTTATTCATGGGTATTTTTAGTAAAAATCACGAGCAGGTCATGGGCAAGAAAGAAAACATCCTGACCTGTGGCCTATCCATGACTTATACCATAACTAATCCTGATTGGGTCTTGGGCATGAAAGGCCTGCTGCGGGTGAGGAAATCCTGGAGGGGCGAGAGCCTCTTCTGGCCACCCCGAGGCTGCTGCTTAAGCAGTCTCCAGGATCAGGTACTCAGAGCAGCGGCTGGTGCAGCTGGTCCTGGGACTGTCTCAGCAGCAGCCAATATGGCTGTCCCCAGGGCTGCCCAAGCAGCTCGCCCTGAGGTCAGCGATGCTGGCCATGGCAGAAGTCCTGGAATCCATGTCTTCCATGACTACTGTGACAACGAGCCCTAAATATGAGATACATTTTTTGTTTATGCTTTGCTATAAAGGATTCCACAATTTTCTAGTTTAGTAAAGTACAAGACACCGTCTCTGAATTTGATTTCCAGATGAGAAGGAATTAGTTATTGCTGGTTTGTTTTCCTACTACCGTGGAAGTTCTTTACCAGAGAGACTTGTGTGGAGCTTAGACATTTTCACAGTGGAAAACTGATCAGTGGCTATCAGGAGATATCTCAGAGGCTACCAGTGGCAGGATTTTGCTTTTCAGAAATCCTGAAGAGGCTCTCAAATCAGTTAGCATAGATAAACAGTCACACAGGGATAGTGGGAAATGAATGGGATATGGATAGAGTGGCAAGGACCCAAAACTATTTTTATTTTATTTCACAGCAACTGATAAATCGTACAAACATTCCTGACAGAAGTCTGCTCTCACCAGACATCACTGGAGCTGAGGATACCCCAGAGAAGAAAGAGGAGTTAAAGAAGTTGAAAGATCTTCTGCACCAAAGAGATAATGAAATCAGTATCCTTTATGAAACAGGATTTATTTGGATTTAAACTAATCTGGCTGCAATCTGAGGTATGGGTGTATATGCAATGGGAGATGGTGATCAGCAAAGAATTTCTTCCTCTTCAGACTCATGTATCAATCCACACTCTTAATCTAAGGGCTTGTCTACATTGGCATATTACTATGTTGTAACTTTCTCGTGCATGGGGTGTGAAAACACACACACACGCCCCAAGCACAACAAGTTAAGAGTGCTGCAAAGTGCTAGTGCGGACAGTTCTACAGAACTGGAAGCCACACTCCCAATGCTGTTAGCTACTTCCCTCCTAGAGGTGGGTTACCTAGAGCACTGGGAGAGCGCTCCCTCAGTGCTCTTACACGACCAAACTCCTGTGTTGCCACAGCAGTGCTTTAAAATTTCATGTGTAGACTGTAGACAAAGCTCAAGAGTCTCATACCGCTCTTTCTCAGAATCCTATTGTTGCACTTGATCCCTGTTACTGTTATGAACTGAACTAAAATCCTGGATCCAAATACCCTCCAAACAAATGAAAAATTGGATCTAGCATAGAAAACTATATAAAGAACAATTTATTACATTACAAAGAATAGAATTTCCTCTATTGTTATTATTAGCCAAATGAAATGGTGCTTCAGGGACTACTGGACTCTCTTCTTTTAGACTAAATGTAAAACTGGTGCTTATTACATCCAACTTTAAAATTTAGATTAAAGCTGAGCCTTTATGTGTATGTATAACAAAAATTAAACTACTCAGATGTACTGTGTCCACTTTACTGCCTCATGGAAAACATATGAGTAGCTATAGCTTAGTAAGATGAAGAAAGGGCAGTTATTTTAGCTGGCTGACAAAAGTGCAGGCAGATCACAGCGTCACCATGTCCCTGAATTTGTGTCTGATCTGCAGACAAAACTTCAACAATGGTAGAAAATTGACAAATAGCTTTCAGGTTTATAGCAAGCAGAGGTTCTTTTGCATTCAGCTTTTATTAAAAACAAGATGCACTGCATTCTTTGTGTTCAACAAGTACTCACAGATTTGATGTATCAAATGTGAGTGAGTTGTACTTCAGACTGGTAGCTTGCTTTACCCTGATGAAATCAAATGATAGCGAAGCCTTTTTGTCTACTGCATCCATCCCGAGAGCCAACGTATTTATTTTGAAGAAACACTGTCTAGTTAATTTGGCTTGAAATGGACTTATAATGCCTTTTAAAAGTTTCTTATTTTAGTTCAACCTCTGGATCTCTCAGAAGAGTGTCTTCTTAAATAAATAATTAAATGGCTACTTGTAATAAAACAACAAAATTCACAATTAAGAGTGTCTGACGTGTTCACACCAGATAGGCATATGTGGCTTTCCTTGTGGAAGCACAAGGAAGGCATTTATTGCATCCATCAATTTTAATTAGAGCTATATACAGGCAGTCCCCGGGTTACGTACAAGATAGGGACTGTAGGTTTGTTCTTAAGTTGAATCTGTATGTAAGTCATAACTGGTGGTCAGTTTCAGCAGCGGCTGAATCTGGACGCCAGTTCCGACTTACATACAGATTCAACTTAAGAACAAACCTACAGTCCCTATCTTGTACGTAACCCGGGGACTGCCTATACAGGGAAACTAAGTATTGTAATGTCAAATAGGCAAAACTGGCAAGATTTTAATGGTTAGAATTGTAGGCCTAATCCTAATCTCACACTGGTTTTACATTTTTTATACAAATGTGAGTCTGTGGTCTTTAACAGAATTACTTATGATTCATATTGTTGTGAGATCTAAATTAACCATACATAATTGAGACATATGCATTAAAATGTCCCTATTAACTCTGATGGTAAAAGCTTATGTCTTTCAACAAAACAATACATTTTGGGTGCAATTTTAGCCGGTACAGACAGATCTTTAGCAGTCATACAGTAGTCCAGCAATAGCAGTCTCACAATATCGAAAAGTTAGTTCAGAAGCTAATGCTTTTAAAATCTACTTCACCAGCGGTTTGTTCCATATACTAGCCTGGTCTGCTGGAGACGGTCCCCAGCCGACCAGAGGCACCGGGAGCAGCTTTTCTCACCCCGGAGGTCGAGGTGGCGGACCGCTGCCTGCGAGCTCCGGGGCGAGAGAGCCCCGTTCGTAAGTGTGGATCGACATAAGTTGGATCCGCGTAAGTCGGGGACTGCCTGTACTGAGAATCGAAATATTTAAAGTTAAAATCAGAACTAGCATGCAAGGTATTGTAAGTGGATTTTGCAACCTACATAATTTTATAATTTACTTTCAAAAATTAACATCATGATTGGTGCATTAAAACTACTGCGGATATGGAGGCTCTCCTGGCATAAACTTTGAGAGATCATTCTTGTCTTTATGCACATGACAAGAGCTATGATAAGAACCAAGATGTAAGACAAATAATTTTTGCCACCTAATCAACTTGATTCTTATAATTCCTTGCACCTTGCATAGATTTTTCCATGTATTTATCAGATAAATTGAAAAACATATAAAGACTATCTCATCATCTTTATAGAGATTCATATTACCTTTGTTTTTGCTAAACTTTTAGTGAATTCCATCATAAAATCCCTGCATGCCTTCATTTAAGATGTTATGTCAAAGGTCTTTCTATAGAATAGGTATGTGATTGGCAAGAATTTATTTAAAATCCTGTTTTGTGTTTTTGTAATCTTTTCTATTGTGGTGTGCTTGTCAGTCTTCCTATAAAGTTTAAGATTTCTGGCTAATACATTTTAAGTTTGACATGGGAAATTTGCAGGGTCCAATTGATGTTTCAGTGTTACAAAAATTAATAAAGGAAATGTCAACCATTTTAAAGTACATAGAATTTAACATTTCTATTTTTGTACAAAACCTTACAGTATTTATTGCTTTTATCTGAACACTGATTGACCTTAGACAGTTATACCACTCAGTAATGTCATCTTACTAGATGTCAGTAATGTCATCTTCAGAGCAGATTGAACTGGGTATTTGGAAAGATATTTAGGCATAACATATAGTTCTAATCCTGTAATCCATATTCATGTGAATGAGCCTTGCATATGTGACTAGTTCCATTCAGTTCTACAAAACTACATTAATGAACAAGTCACCTACAAAGCAAGTGGATTGTTATAAATGGAAAGAAGATCTCATATAATTTCCTTAAAATGTCCTGCAGATATTCTAGTAAATATGTTAAAGAAAGAAAAGAAGAAAGCACAGGATGCCCTCTTTCAGCTCAGTGCTGGTTCCAGTGGCCTTGCAGTCTCCAAGAGTTCCCTTTCTATAAGCTTTGAAGAAGGTCACAGGCCATCTGCATGTATTAATGTGAAAAATTCACAAGATTTCAGCTCCTCAGCCCATAGAGCTGCTTTTCTTCCCAGGCGAGCAGGTTAGTAAAATGAATTATATACACAAGTATCCACTTGATGACTCACATGATGACTTTAAATTTTATCATTTGTAAGTGTGCAGTTTTACAAGAGTTTTACTTGCAGCATCAGCTTTCTTGTGCTCATTTGCTTTTGTCCTACACTTTACAAACAGAATTACCTTGATTTCAGGCCACCTCAATGCATAGGTAACTTAATATGCTGACAGCACTCAAATGTTGGAAATGTAAATGATTCTTGAGGACCTCATTTATAATATAATCAAGGGCATCTTTCCCATGGAAAGCTCAAACCACTAACTTAACAAAAATGATTCTCCTTCATTTTGTCCTTCAAAATAGGAAAGTAATCCTCTCTTCAAGTGAAAAGAAAGTTGATTAGTTCTCTCTCTGGCTGTCTAGCAAATCACAGTGTTCCGCATTATGTAGAACACACTGGTTTTATTTGACATTTTTTGTGAACCATTATAATGTTTTTTATCATTACTATGTAAATGCAATCAGACATGGACCTCTTTTAGCAAGTTACTTCAGCAGAGAACTAACTTGAAGCATGTGAATAGTTCCACCGACTAACTACCTTGCTGAACTATAACATTGGTTTGTAAGAATAAAACCAGAATGCTTATATTTTCATATGTTGAAGCTTTCTATGAAAAAACATTTAAATCACAACAGAGAAGGAAAAGTATTCAAGAATGCAGCTCTTGCCAAAGGAGATTAGGAAACAGCTGAATTCACAAATACTGTATTTGATTAGGCTAGCCAGTACACAAAATACAACTTAACCATGTGATAATGTCATTTTCAGGAGAAGGGCAGTTTCTCTGCGCATACATAGAATTCAAGCCCTTCCTAGTGATGATAATTCATTTATTTTAATACTTTCTTCTGGTGAGGAAGATTTTCTAAAGAGCATTTGTAAAGTCACAGCTTAAGGTTTTTGACTTAGGTATAAGCATGCCAAATGCAATTACTTAAAAAAAAATATTGCTTTACAGGAGGTGAAAGGATGATAGTTAGAGCATGTGCCTATCATGCTGGAATAATGTCTTGGGAATTAATAAAAATAAATTTGGATTCATTTTCTGAGAGCATCATGGAAGAATGAGTCTTAAGGAGGCATCTGCCTGAGGAGAGGATAGTGGTTTGGCATAGGGGTTGTGGTATAAAAATATAAATTACACCATCTAAGCACCATTTTCTATTTCCACAAAAGATTCTGAGCCAGATTCATTCTTTCCACTCATCCTCAGACCAAAGACAAACATCAGTCTGCATGTAACACATTTAAAAAACATATTTTTTTACAATCTAAAAAATATACACAATATTTGGAACTGTACTATTTTATAGTAGGTAGAGTATTATAATAACAATTGGAAAAGCAGTTTAAATTTCAGTGTCCTATTAAGTTTACCACACTAATTTAGAACCAGCAAATAATGTCAATAGTACAGGCAGTCCCCGACTTACGTCGGATCCGCACTTACGAACGGGGCTTTCTCGCCCCAGAAGTCGGGGCGAGAAAGCCCCGTTCGTAAGTGCGGATCCGACGTAAGTCGGGGACTGCCTGTACTATTGACATTATTTGCTGGTTCTAAATTAGTGTGGTAAACTTAATAGGACACTGAAATTTAAACTGCTTTTCCAATTGTTATTATAATACTCTACCTACTATAAAATAGTACAGTTCCAAATATTGTGTATATTTTTTAGATTGTAAAAAAATATGTTTTTTAAATGTGTTACATGCAGACTGATGTTTGTCTTTGGTCTGAGGATGAGTGGAAAGAATGAATCTGGCTCAGAATCTTTTGTGGAAATAGAAAATGGTGCTTAGATGTCAGAACTGGCGGTCAGTTTCAGCAGTGTCTGAATCTGGACGCCAGTTCCGACTTACATACAGATTCAACTTAAGAACAAACCTACAGTCCCTATCTTGTACGTAACCCGGGGACTGCCTGTATTACATACAACAAAATGATCTGTGTGCGTTTTGAAAATATTGCTATTTTATCCCAGCATTATATGATGCTATAAATTAGCTAAATCAGAGAAAATATCCCCATTATTTGCATAGGATGATGTGTATTTTATCCTTCTTTCACCTAGAAAGTAGGCACCATATTACATGGGATTTTAAAAAGCTCCTTTTCTGGCTAACATATCTTCTTTCAACTTATTTCTGTTTAAAAAGCAAAATGAAATGGAATTCATGGCTCACTTGAGCCATGGCTTTTTGAAATGTTCAGCCAAGTGAGAGAAAAGTTAGGGATTTTTTTGTTTTGTTTTTTGGTTAAACGTCTGTTTTTGTTTTATTGAAATAATGAGAAAGCCTGCATGTTCAATTCCAATGCTGAAAGGGGCCATATTGTTCTCTTTAACATAGCAATGGTCTTAGTGTTTTTATGTTTCTTGAGTGTGTGTTCCAAATAGTCACCTGGAACTATTCAGCTTTCCAGAAGCCCCCAGATGACTCACTGCATCCTTTAACTGTTTGATTTTCTAACAAAACCAAACCACCCTCCAAAGTGATGCCAAAGGAACTTTTAAAAGCACATCATGAGCTGCAACTATCAGAGAAGGAAGCTTTAATAAAAATATCCACACTATTGTGATGCTTGTTTTGTAGAAGATTCCTCAAAATGGTTCCTCAAAAGCTGCTTGACTTTTGAAATGAACTGAGGGATTAATGCTGCCACCATTTTTAAAGTAGTAAGAAAAAATGTGTGCACACAGGGTGCGTCTACACTGCACCATTATTCCAAAATAACAGCCATTACTGTGGAATAACAGAACATCTATACAGCAATTCCGTTATTTCGAAATAAACTCAAAATAATGGACAGCTTATTCCGACTTTTGTAAACCTCATCACATGAGGAATAACACTCTTCTGAAATAGCTATTTCAAAAGGGGATGTGTGTGGATGCAGCACAGGGAGTTATTTCAAAATAAGGGCTTCCAGGAAATCCCACAGGTGCCCTGCTCTCTACTCTGTCCACACTCCTTAGGACTCTATAGTTCCTCTTCCCCTGTAGCCCTTATAGGGGAAAGGGCTTGTGGCAGGAAACTGGCCCAAACAGCCTCCAGCCACACTGCTGCCATAGCACATCTGGCCAGGATGGCTGACCATTGAGCTCCCTAAGAGTCCTCCATCACTCCCAAGGAGCAGTCACTCCCAAGGAGCACTGAGGTGCGGGGCAAGGAGGAAAACCTCCAGCATCTCTGCTGCAGATGGTGCAACAATGATATATACAGCTGGCTGGCTGATAGCCAGGACACAAAGGGACACTTTGAGAAGGTCTGGCTGAAAGAGCTCCGACAGGGCTACACCAGGGCGACAGAGCACAGCTCCTGCTCCGGGGCAGAACCCCACTCCTGCCCCTATTATTCAGACCTGCACCGCATCCTCTGGGGTGGTGAAGCCTCTTCCCCACCCCTGGTGGTTGATTTGGGGCTGGAGATGTCCATCATCACCTGCTCAGGGCTCAGAGATGGTAAGGAGGAGGAGGAGCTCAAGCGGTCAGCACTATGACCTCGCTGACCCTTAAGCCAGTACCCCAGGCACCATGCAAAGCTGGGAGGAAACATCAGGTGAGTGACCTTATTTTTCTCACACAGACAGGGTGGAGATTGCAGGTGGCAAAGGTCTGGGGTCACTTCTCCCTTGGCCTTCTCGGCCTGGGGAATCATGCGGCAGTCCGTGCACATGGGTGCAGGTGCAGCGCCAGTCTGTGCCACACAGCCCCAGGAGACTGCATCTGCGCACCCCTGGGCTCCCACTCACAGGGTCTAGGGAGGCCAGGCACACTTCAGTTACCCAGGGAGGGAGACACCCTCCCACCACAACCCACTGCTAGGAGGAGGCTAGGGTCATGGACACACGCACACACACTCAGGAGTGCCGCACACTTGAGACAGCACCCCTTCCTGGGGACAGGGCTGCCAGGTGTAGGTGTGTCTGCTGCTCACATCCTCCTCCCCCTCTATACTCTCACTCCTTCTTCCCCCAGCAGCCATGGATACAGGTCATCTCCCCTTGGGAGGCCACCACTGCTGGACCCGGCATGTGTGGCACTGAGGCAAGCCCAGCCAGCTTGAGGTCCCCCTCCCACACACAGGATCCCAGTGCGGCTCACAACTTCCCATGCCTGCTCATCCCCTGGACTTGGAGTGTGGGAAGCCTGCTCTCCTGGGGACATCCAGGCCCCTGTAAGAAAGGGCCTGATGTGCAGGCCATGTGTGACCTTCCTCCCATGACATCACCTTCATCTGACCCAAGAACTGTCAGTCTTGAATCACAGATGATGGCAGAGCTTCAGGAACAGGGTCTCCAGGGATGACTGACCGTCTCTCTTTATTGTCCTCAGCCGGACCAGCTGCAAGAGAGGGGCAGGCAATACTATCCATGGTAGCTGCCCAACACTGGGGGAGTCGCAGGCACTGGAGTACACAGGAGAGACTGCTGCTGGAGCACATCTCTGTATTCTGGGCCCTGCACGAGACTCTGGTCCAGAAGGTCCGAGAGGACATGCAGTGGCGGAGAGAGAGCTGGACGGAGTTGCAGCAGCAGGGACTTGACATATGTGCAACCATGCAAGATCTCTTGACCCACCCAGAGTCAGCTCCTGCTGCTGCTTGTGCCCCTGTCCCAGTTCCTGGTCCTGCCCCCTGCCATGCCAGCACCTGCTCCAGCCCTCCTCTTGCTTCTTCCCCTAGCCTCCCCAGGCCCCCCCTCACCTCTGTAGTTGCTAAGGTCCCTGCACACAAGGTGGATGAACTACCCGACCCAGGTACCACTCCCAGCCCCAGCCTCTCCTCCCCCCTCGACCCTGTTTCAGCTCCCTCTTCCCTCATTTCCAGGTTCTTTCCCTGGTCCCTCCCCCGTTACTTGTACCCCAAATAAATCACCAAACAGTTATTGTTTTTCAAAACTAAACAGTTTTTTATGCTCTCTGCAGGGGAGAGGGGTGGAAGCAGGAAGTGGGGGTCT